AAAAAAAATCATTCAAAAATTATTTCAATATGAAAGAACATGAAATTTATATGATAGAGAATATGCAACTTACCAACTGAAATATATATAGGTCTGCATCATGTTAGACTTATAAGTCGTACCTAGTGCCAAGCATATGACATTTTGCTTTAGTCATTCCTCATGCTTTCGCGCTCAATTATACATGGGTATATTATATTAAAGTGTTTTGCAAGTTGTATTTTTAAAATGTTTTTGAATAATTTATTTAAAAATTTATTTTTTAATTAATATTTTAAAAAAGTAACAATTAAATTAAAAAGTTTTATTTATATATTATGTATATTAATTTTAAATTATTTTAATATATTTAATCACTTTATCAATTGTAACAAATTTAACACCATTAAATATACATATTAGTAAATAATATATTTTTAATTAAAGGACTATAAATGTTAAAATAAATATAAAAATTAATATGCATGATTTATATGAATAAAATTTTTAATTTAATAGTTAATTTTTAAAAGAATTAATTAAAATATAAATTTTTAAAGCCATTTTAAAACATAAATTTTTAAAGCCATTTTAAAAACATTTTAAAAAACCCACATGCCTTATACCTACAATAATCTCTATTATTAGTTTACAATTTTTTAAATTAAAAAATCCACTTTTAAAAAGGGATAGGTAAGAGGGAGAGACAAAGGTTTATCTTTTGAATAATTGGCCGGAGAAGAAGAGTTTTCTTTGAGCTATTGGCTAACAAAACAATATTGTGTCTAAGAGAAACAAGAGGGAGGAAAGAAGAAGAATGGCACTAGAAGCTGTGGTGTTTCAGAAAGATCCGTTTAACTATGATTTCAACATCTTAGAAGCAAGTAGCACTGGACCACCCTGCGACTGCGACCACTTGGCTTTTGAAGAAGAAAAGGCTTATCAAGAAAGTCCTCAAAGAAGTACTGGAGAGTTTGGTTTCAGTGCGAATTGCAACTTCTTCTCCCCATCTTCGCCCATGGAGGAACCGGTGGGCATGACGGTGGCCACGCCTTGCCGGAGAAAGAAACGGCGTACCATATCCGTCAAGAAAAAGGAGGAACTTGAGGTCCAGAGGATGACCCATATTACTGTTGAACGCAACAGAAGGAAGCAAATGAATCACTACCTCGCCGTGCTCAGGTCCATGATGCCTGCCTCCTACGTTCAAAGGGTAAAATAGTAATATGCACGATTTCTTTCTTCTTCTCTTTTTTCTTTTTCTTTTTTTAAAAAATTGAATGTAAAAAAAAAAAAAAAAACTGTTGTGCAGTACTTCTAGACTGTTCCACACTACACAATTTTAACAACTAAATAGGTACAAGTACGTTAATATTAGAGACTTCTTTTCACACTTATTAGTTTTTATGATGAATCGTAAAATAGGAGAACTTATATAAGAAAATTCTGTAGGTAATCTTTATAATAATTTTTGTTATATAATTAATATATTTTAAAAGATTAACCAATGAATATAATGATTAAGAACCCTTGAGTACAACAGTGCTAGTTCCTCACATAAAAATTTTCATCGACTCGAATTCAAGTACTCCCCATTCTTTTTCTTCCAAAAATATAACATTTTTCAAAAAATAATAAAAACAGAAAGAATATATTGATTGATTTTTAATAAGCTAATAATTATTTGATTGAAAAAGTTACACACACACAAACTTTACTATACAATATTAAGCATAACTTAGCGTGATGTTAAATTAATTATTATAATCACTTATTTAATGTCATGTTATATTACACGTAACATTTTATATGTAACTCTGTCATTTTATTATGTAAATCATGCTTGTTAAATTTTAAGTTAATTTATATTAATACTAACAACTTAAGTAATTTAATGATAATTTTTATTTAAGTAAAAATAAGAGTTTTTAAATTTAAATCACATGATATATAAGTATAATGTATTAAAGAATTTAAGAGGGTTGTCTTTGTTAATCAGTAGAATAATTCGTGAATAACTTTAAGTGACTTGAGTTAAAATTTGTAAGTAATTTTGAATTATTTGAGTTAAGTTTAACTTGAACTCAATTTATGTGGTAAACAAGAGTGATGTAACTCAAGATAATTTAAAAAAAAAAAAAAGGTTAATCTACATTAGTAAATATTTAATGAAAAAATCATATTTTCTAACTTATATTTACCATTTTGTGTAATAAATGAATATTAAATGTATTAACAATTTAATCAATATGAAATTTTGACTTAACCCACATACTAAATACAAAAATGCATTTATTTGACTTAATAGCAATCAATTCATTGCAGGGTGATCAAGCATCAATCATGGGGGGAGCCATTAATTTTATGAAGGATTTAGAGCAACTCCTTCAATCCTTAGAAGCCCAGAAGCGAATCCAGCAGAGACTCTGCTTTCCACCGATCTTCTCAGATTTCTTTTCCTTACCCCAGTACTCAATTCAGCAGGACTCGTTGGATACAAGCGACCCAACTACAGAGCAAAAGCGATCCACCACTGCAAATGTGGAAGTAACCATGGTGGAGAGCCATGCCAACATCAAAGTACTGTGCAAAAAACACCCAAAACAGCTGCTTAAGATGGTGGGAGGACTGCATTCTCTAAACCTTTGTGTACTTCACCTTAACGTCACAACTGCTGAAGATATGGTACTCCATTCTTTCAGTATTAAGGTAATACTATGTAGTTTTTAGAGAAGAGATAAATTTTGATTGTTCGCTTTAATTAACATTTCTGTTTCGTTAATTTGATATATTAACATGAAATTTGTGTTTGATTTTCCGGAGACAGATTGAGGATAATTGCCAGTTGAGTTCTGTGAACGAAATTGCAGCTGCTGTGTATGAGATGGTGACTGGGATTCAAGAAGAGTCCTGACCATAATTTCTCCTTTTGTTGGTCTTTAGAATGTTTCCTACTACATACGTTTGGAACTTATTTTAGATTTTCATCACATAAAAGAATCGGTTTGCCTTTTCAAAAAAAATTTTTATCTATTTTTTGCTCTCTGTTTTTGGAATATGTTTACTGCAGTTTTTTTTTTTTTCTCTAATGGGTTGATTTTTTCTAAATGGTTTAAATTTTATCAGGTGTCTCTAATGGGTTGAAGTATGCTTTATAATCTAAGCTGATGAAAAAAATTAAGGAACAACCAGTAGTTGGCCTCCTACTGCTGTCGAAATATAGAACCTAAAGTTCATTTTCAAACTTCATCTGTCATTGTCATTATTTTCCTCCAAGATCTTCGCTTGATGGAGTAATAATGTACTAGAGAGAAAAATTTCATTGGTGCATGCAAGCGATCTCAAGAGATTTCTTGATTTGGGAAGAGATTAGTTAATTCTTAAATGTGATTTTTTA